CGCGCCCGAGCGCCGGGCACCACCTGGAGCAGGGGCAGGAAAGGCAACGCTCTGCCTGGGAGCTGGAGGCCACCTCTGGGACTGAGCCACCCCGGGTTTAAACTGTATTCACCCACCAGGGAAACGACTGCTTCTCTTGCTTTTTGGAATGAAGGTGATGCTGCTTGATTGGTTAGATGCTGTCAGATTGTTACAGGCTAGTATTGAAACAATTCTGTCACAAGCTACATTTAAATACAAATCTTAATTTTAGAAGTTTTGTATACAAGAACAGAATTTATAGAAACGTGAGGGAAAACAGCAAGTACTGTCAGACACCACATGTTTTAATGACTGAGCTCTGAGCAGACACTCCTAGGTGGCAAACAGTATTTCCTTTGTAGAAAGGCCCAACCTGCTGAGCAAACCAAGACCTTTATAAGCAAGAAGCTGCTCCATGCAAAGCAGAACGAAGGAGGGTGGGGTTCTGTTCACGAACAATGTGTCAGCTACCATCATTACTCAGAATTGTTCTTTTTCCCTTTCCAGCTCTTCTGTCTTTCCTCAAGTTCAGCTTCAGTGAAGGCAGCTGGGCCCCAGTTTGTGATTAAGTGAGGGTTCTTAGAGCCTGGAAGACAGAGCACAATACTTGAAACAGTCATTTCTGGCTGGGACACCACTCACCCACTGCCAGCGGGGCAGGCTTAGCATCACCACAGGATGATTTGGTTAGGTGCTGTCTCTTCTGTGACTGGAAACACACTCAAAGATGACCCAAGGACCTACGTAACCAAGGAAGGAGGAATGCCTGGGACACCATCAGTGAAGGTGCTGGGAGTGAAAAGTTGTCGGCTGCTGCAATCTTTTGCATTCTTATCTCCCAACTCCCTCCCTCCCACACAGGTGTATCTTAGTAAACCCTTCTTCTAACTTTCATTTTGAGCTCTCCCTGGAAGGAAGGTGAGCTCCCCAGCACTGCATTACAACACCTTCTTCTGGGCTGGCACACCATTAATTAAGCTAAGAAATTAAACTTTTCCCCACATCAAGTATTTTAGCTACCTTCATGTGTTTGGCGGTTAGCATTTATGCCAACTGCATTAAACACTCAAACCATGCAATGTTCAGGTTGATCCTTGCTTTGTTTTAAATAAATAATAATAATTTAAAAATTGTTATAGTAGGGCAAATAGAGGTAAAGACCTGAGAGTTACCACGAGCAGTTGTCACCAATGTGATATTTATATGCTCCCATGAACCAATAAACTACAGGCAAAGGCAGAGTTCAGTAAGTCACTAAGTGATGTAAGTATATGGAATAGAACGAATATGTGGGTTTTTTTATAACTTTTCTGTTGATAACTTACCTGGCTCTATTAGTCGAATTAATCCCTCATGATGAGCTACTTTATCTTTCCAGCTCTTGGTGTTATTAGCTGCTGTCTCCAACTTCTTCTTAACCTCCTGAAATAAGATGCAGCCCACTTGAAAACAACTTAACTTCGTTTATATAAACAAGAAAAAACATCCTTTTAAATCTAAAGATAGAACCACGTTAATTCAGCCAGCGCTCCATTTAGTGTAGTCAGGGGAACTTAATTTCTAACCATCCTAAGTAATTTAGTTGTTGCTAGCTGTATAAAAGTAAGCTGTCAAACCAGAATCCAAAACTAACCAGGTTTTAAAAGATTCTGTAGCTGCTTAAGTAGGGCCAGTCTCTTCATGAAGATTGAAGGAAACTACATAAGCCGTAAGTGGTCGCAGTAGTGTTGGGTTGGTGGCTGGACTTGGCAATCTTAGAGGTCTTTTCCAACCTTAATGATCCTGTGAGTCTATGATCTTCTGTTCCAAACTAAAACCAGCGAGTAGGTACCTCTCACTATCAGAAACCATACAACGTAAGGTAGGAAAAGGACAACCCACTCAAGAAAGAGTCATTTCTTCAATCTAAACCAGGCCTTTGGTCAATTCTAAATGGAAGGCCAGAATGTTTACTTGTTTCTAAAATAACAGGTCGGTTATCACAGTGACCTACTCCATCACTTGTTTTGTGGATATTTTGTTTGAGGGTTTTGTTATGTCTATCGTATTCAGCAGTTCCTTTGGAGTAGTAGATAATGCTTCATATACAATAACCCTAAGATGTCATCTAAAAAAGAAGTCAATTATTAGCCAAAAGCAATCTAATGATGGTGTTAGATGTTCACACCAACATGGTAAGTTGTGACGTAGCCAGAACTACCCCACCTGGGCCCTTGTTTGCAGTCACTGCAGCACTGGTATCCTGTGCCAGTGAAGACAGCTCCCTGGCTTGTCCTTCACAGAGCTAACCTTGAGGGCACAGACACAGCAGAAACACACTCCCTAGTTAAACAGAAATCCAGTCAGGTTTTGTTTCCTGTCCTAAATACATGTAGGATCAACACCACCCTAGCCCTAGAAGTATGCAGCACTTCAGACTCTGTACTCACTGGATTCTGACTCTCATTTCTTCCATGAACAGCTACTGGCCATGACCAAGAACATTCAGCAGAGCAGAGAACAAGGGCTGGGTTTGGGATGCAAGGCACTGGCTACACAGTGAGTACACAGTAAGAGTCCGAGCTAAATCCTAGGTAGCTCTGATGTAAGTTCAGTGCTCAAATACCTTTTTAGGGAGCAGGGCCCTACAGCAGCACATTGATTTTTCATCTGTAGAAGACAGTATTGCCCTATGACAGCATCAAAACATTGCAACAATAATTCAAAAGTATAAGGCATTCAGTTATGACAGCAGTGAGACTGCATATGAAGTTAGTCTACACTAGAAGACAAACCTATGCAGAGTATTTCAGCATATGACTGAGGTGGCTTGCATGCAAATTGGGACAAAAAATTAAAGGAGGTGGTGTCTTTTCCTTCAAATACATTGATTTACTGGTCAAAAAAAACCCAAACCAACAGGTAAATATCCTACCTGTTATTATAATTTTTGTGTCATACTAACTCTTAAAGAAGGATGGTATTGATGAACTACAAATTGAGTGAAACTACTGAACACCTGGCTAAGTATGAGAGGCTGATGAAAAGAACAGCTCACCTCGTATTGCTCAAGGGCCTCCTTCCTTTCCAGTTCAAGTTGTTCCAGTTGCTGCATAGCAACTTGAAGAGCCTGTTCCTTTATCATTCTCTGATTTTCTAGCTCTTGCTTCTCTGCTTCTGTCATCTGAATGGTCTGTTGCTGCTGCAAGTGCCATTTTTCCAGTTCAGCTCTCTTTGCTGACTCCTCTTCCAGTAATCTGCAATGAGGATTGTGATGTTAACTGAACTATAAAGATGCATCCATTATGTAGCATACACATAGGGAAGCCAAGTGAATTATCTCTCTCCCTCATCCAATACTTGGGAAGCACAAAAAAAGTTATTGCTTGTTGCTTTGTCTCAGTGCAAAGCTGAAAAATCACGCCAGCAGTGCAAGCAGTCTGACTGCTACCAAGGGCTATTCAGAAAATTTAATCAATAATGCAAACAGACTGCAAAGCACAGAAGAAGTAAACATGCATAAGCTATCTGTTGTCTTAGGAGGGGTTAATATATGAAGAAACAAACCACACTAAACATAGCCCATATGAGTTAGAGGAGACTTAACTCTTTATCAACTACAATTTAGACCTGTGATAAAATGCAGCAGAAAGTCACGAGGGCTAATCAAACTCAAAAAAAAAACCAAACAAAAAACCACCTTTTGCTTTCATAGCTTAAGGAAAAGGAAAAAAATGTCCTGAGTTTGGATTTTCTAAGCTAGTCATCCCCTTTTCAGCAGCATGTCCAAGATGCAAACAATCTTTAACACTATGGCACAGTTATTGTTGTGGGGGCAGGTAGGGAACTGAAATACATCTCTATGAGGTCAAAGCCATACCTGGCTTGAAGTTTCCTTACGGTCTCTTCATCTTGACGTGCCTGTTTCTCATCCTCCAGAGCTTCCTGTAGCTGCTTATACATTTCTTCCAGTTCACGTACTCTCTGTAAATACTGTTCCAGTTCAGATGATTTCTGAGCAACTTGCTCTTCCATTTTTTGTCTTACCTATCAGCATAAATCGAGGACATATATAAACTACCGTTCAACTCAGGTTTCCAAATTTTAAAAGAATTGTCAGGTTTCCCTTAGATAATGTTTTCAGAGACAAACCTTTTCCTGCTGCCTGCAGAGCAAAACTGATAAAATTGAGTCTACATTTGTAGATGTGCAACTTTAAGACCATTTAAAAAAAAATGATACAGGTTACTTACACTGGTCTACTTCATGCATCACAGGACTTCTACAGGGGTTTAAAACTAACTTCAGTCTGTTTGATCTTGTCACTTAGTTTACAGGTACACACTAAGCTGAAGGAAGAAAAGACTTGCAGAGTGCCCAGGCACAAAGGTCAGGCTGGTTTAATGACACCATTTCCACTCCTTTCCTCAGGCAAGTCCTCCCTTGGCAGCAGTGCATCCCACGCACATGTACCGGCAGTGGCACCGCAGCAGCACGGGGTGGAAGTGTGCTAAGGAGGCTGGATTTGCCAAGAGAAGAGCAACGATGACAAAAAACAACAGTAAGGGATAGAGGAGGGTGAGGGGATGCTGCACATCCAGTCACGCAGTCTCTGAACCTCCTTATCCCGCTTTCCCTGACCTCGAGCAGGGAAATGAGGGGCACAGTGACCCTGGAGCGTCCTCTGCCCAGCCCCTCACTGCTGGGGACAACAGCAGTCAGCTGGCCTTGAGCCGATGGGGAAAAGCACCGAATCCTCACATAATATGTACGTCACAGAAAGTAAGCACAGCTCCTGAAGTCAGCAAGAAAGGCTGGCTGTCAAGTGTCAGGATGGCACGTCCTGCTCCACTGGTCTGCAGCCTGCTCCCCTCAGCTAACTGCAATCCCACTGACCCAGAAAGTGATCGTATTCAGGAGTCTGCTCTCAGCTCATAAAGCGGCACCGAGTCTGTTCACGTTCCCAGACGTTCCACCACATCAACTCAACTGTTTCTACTTCTTTTCTCCCGTTAACAGAAAAGCTTGTCATGCCTGACAGAGCCCTTGAAGACTGAAAATCAGTTTGTTTGGAAGTGCTCAGTGTGGATTATAGTGATGACATTGTAAAGCTACAATATTTCTTTATTTTTTTGTGTTTGTGGCTATGTGTAAAAGAACACTGCATTAAAAAAAAAAAGTAGTAGTTTTAGGAATATATTAAAGTCAGAAGATTCCTAAAATGCATTTTGATTATGCTTGTGTTCATTTTGCACATTCCTGTAGTAGGCAGTGACCTCAGCTTCTCCATCTTTGAAAACTGCAAGGATAACCAGTCTGCATTTACCTTTCAAAGTTGTCCCCATTTTCCCGTACTATATTTAAGCTGTGAATGCTATGCAAATTGTAGGTGATCTGTTCCAGTATTTGAATTAATATGTAAAAACATTTTATTCCTAGGTCTCTAATAAATGCAACACAGGATCCATCCTCCTGCAATATTTGTAGAATCCCTTCAGTGACTGCCTGTGAGGGAAATCACTGCTGGATGCATTGCTCACTATGTGTAATCATAGCAAAAAAACCCACATGTGCACTACTCACCATTTTTTCTCTCTCCAGCTCCAAACTGAAGCGATCTTGTAATTCAACTTGAGTCTGAAGTCTTTTCTTCTCTTCCTCAGCAGCACGAGCAGCTGCTGCTTCCAGTTGCTGAAAGAGAAGGGTGGGAGGAAGAAAAGAAGGAAAAACTAAGTAGTCAAAAAGACCAACCAACCAACAAAAAAAAAAAAAAACATTTGCAGAGAATGGAATTTGATTTAACAGTATTTGGTTTTAACAAAAATGGAAGGAACCTTCAAAAGCTTTAAGGTATCAGGGTTTTTTTGGTTTTGGTTTTGTTTATGTCTGAGGCTATTCTCAATCTCTAAATGTAAATTCTAATCTTGTTATTTGCAAGACAGTTTTAAATTTACCAATGAAAAGTCAACTGTCAGACTTCCTTCAAGTTTCCTTTGCATCCTGCTTTGCCCAGCCAATAGGTAACAGGCATACAGTGATTTCTGTCTCATATGGGATAGAAATCTACTATGGAAAACCACGTCACAGGCAGGACTGCACAGGAGTTCCAACAGTGAAAACGTGCCAGCATGCCACGAGTTCATACAGAAACAGAAGTGAGAAGCACTAACCTGCCATGGGAAAGCAGAAGTGCTGTAGACTTTGACTATAATAAATGATTGTGCTATTGTGAATCACACCCCTTTAACATCCCCTAAACTGCCATGTAAGGTAAACAAAATTCTAGTCAATAATCATCACTTGGTATTAGGGGAAAAATTTGCCTAGTCAGAGCTGGTAGTCTCATGCCTTTTTGCATCTTAATTTCTTTTGCATCTTGATTTCACATATAACTGGCACAGTTTTTCCTTTCATCAGAATTTTGATAGCATGTATTTTTAGAATGCTCAAGCTACACTTTAAAAATGCACAAATACCAGTCAAAACCTTACCAATACTGGAAGCAAAATAATTTTTCACAGCATTTTGCTAAGAAACTTATCTGATGCTTCAGGGGAAACAGAAAACAAGCACCCTTCTTTTGTAATGCACTAGGCTGGTGAAATAGTTTCCACAGGCCTTTAGTTAAGAGTGGGACATCTGTCTTCTTCAGTATTTTTGGAAAGTACCACATTTAAACTATCTTCCATCACATAATCTAGATGAACTAACGAGATGACTGAACAATTAAAACTGCCAAGCTAAAACTCTCATTTCGTTAAGTTCTTGTGATGTCACTCTAGTCTGAAATAGCTGGGCAGAAGGGAAGGACAAAGCTCCTAGTTTGGTTTTTTAGCTGTAGAAGATAGCCTTTCAAAGGAGAGCAACTCTGTACTTAAATGATGCCAGTCTTTTAGAAATAGTACTCCTCGTCTGCCAGAACGTTTAAAAGCATGTAATTGTAGTCAAATCCAAGATGCCTATTTAAGTGAATTTTTCTTTTGATTTCCTTCCCTGCTTGGAAATTAAACAAACATTGCCAATACTGAGCCAAGAGAGTGAACGTGCAGAGTCACAGGCAAGGGTGGCTTCCAGGCTTTTGCCAGAGCCCTCAATAACAGAATACATTGTTTGTCCACTCTTTATCAGCAACTTCCTGCTTAATTCACGTCAGAGGACATCAATTCCTGGCAGGTAACACTGGCAACAGCTACGTATTTAAGGGAAAAGTCCCAAATGTTGAGTGTGGGGAGGGAGGGGGAATCACAAGAACACACCACTCCAGCACGGGTCAGTTACCACAGAGGCTCTGAATCCCATGGAAGACCCCAAACTGAAACAGAAAGTGTGCATGAGTCTTATGCATGCTGTCTTGGTAAGAAAAACTCACCTTCCAGCCTGTTCAATGCGTATCTCAAAATTCCATTTAAAAACATGAAAAAAAAGTATATTAGACAAAGCCTCTTCTGAAATTTCCTACTGCAGGAGCTATCAAAATACCAACCAATCTCAGAGTGCACTTTGGCAGATGTGGTGTGAGTGGTGGCTCACTGCCATTAAGGGCAAATCGAACTCTAAGCTTTTCAGAACAAGTCAGTTTCCTGAATCAGAAAGCTTTATCCTTGAAGAACATTCTTCTAACTAACCAACCACTTCAAGTTCCTCCAGCACAGCTCCTCCCACTTAGCCAAAGTGCAGTAGTTCATGTCAGAGACTAAAGTGCTCTCCTTAATAAGTCACTTTAATCCAGTGATTAAAAGATCACTTCAAAAAATATGTCTTCAAAAGATGCTTCTTGTTGCAACTCTTCTTTAGTCTACCTGTTGTGATTTCTACAAAAGAAAGCGCCAAAGCCTGTCAACATCCGGCTGCTCCTCTGGGGTTGCCCTCATGTTATCCTCCCCTTTAACTTTTTCTCAGTAAAATAAACTCAACAGTGAAATCCAGCCCTATAACTTCTGTTAACAGGAGTATTACCGACCAGTAACACAGGCTAGCCTTTGAAGCATATTTTCCATTCTGAAGCTTAAATGTGGTAGAACATAGATGCTAAAATTAAATTAAAAAAATTATTTTCCTCTGTCAGACTCCATTTAAGGCAAAGAGAATAATACCCGTATCAGTACTGTCAGTGCCAGGTTATTTAAAAAAAAAAAATTCTCCTTGACACGAATTGTGACTTAATGACAGGAGTTTTTTTCTTTGCTTTCTAGACTCGGCCCCTTTTAACATGCTCTCACAACATTTATAGCTTCCCTCCTCATGCCCAGCTGCAAAGACCGTTAAAAGTTTTTCTAACTGAGGGCTACAATGAATTTAATTTATGAAACACTCAAGCAGTGATGGAGACAGGAAGTGTATCTGGAGACTAATCAAGTCTCTGTGGAGAACTATTGCAGAGGTACCCGTTGTTCGAAGTGCAAAGAGCCACCAGCATGGTCCATCTATGGTTAAGAGTGTGTAGCCAAGCAAAGGTACCATGGTATCTCCTGCTAGTTGTTAGCTTTTTACTAAAAAGCTGTTTACATGGAAAATAACATGTTCAGCAAGTCTTCTGCTAATACTCAGACATTTCTAGTCTCAGTTCTCAGGCTTGTAGAAGTCAATCCAGCATTTACAAGGAACGTGCATTTAAGCATTTTAATAAACAGCTCTATAAATCTCTCCCAAAGTACCCTTAATAAAATGATGCCTATACACACTCACAAAATCACTCTGCATCTTCGGACTCTTTGTAAATTATATTAATATCTCTGGATACTACATCTGTGCGTAGATAAGAGTTCCCACATACATACAATTCACAGAACAGAACTCTGGACAACTACATAAGAAAAAAATCTTAATGGAAAGCCCCAAGTTTGATGGATGTGTCTGACAGAAAACAAAGGCAAGTAACAGAAAATACTATCCCCTCCAGTGCCCAGATACCATCTTTCCTTTTGCACTAGCTTCAAAACACCCTCATAAGGCCAGGGGATGGGGATGGGCCACAGGAGCTAGCCTAAGCCTGCTGTGCAGTCCTTAGAAACCGCTGCAGTCAATGTTGAAGGCTTTACTGCAGGTTCAACCAGCAGATCTACATGCTTAGAGGGCTGATGCCCACACAAGCTCACCTCCTCTGGAGGAGTTTGCTCAATGTGTCTGAACATGAACTAGATGCCTAATCATACTTCAAGAAGCCCAGCTCAGCCACAGAGACTGAGCTTAAAGCTTCAAGGTTAGCAGCTCCCACTCCCACCTTCCGCACGGTCTCCAGCTCCTTCTGCTTGTTCTCGTTGGCCGTTTGCAGTTCTTTCATCTGCCGCTCCAGCTCCTCTTGCTCAGCTAAGAGCTTCTGGCGCAATTCTTTTCGTTTCTGACGTGCTTCCTTGTGGGGTGGAGGGCTCCCAGCTCTCAGAAGGCTTACGGTGGTCTGTATGGCTGGAAAGGAGTGTGCAAGGCCAAGGGAGAGGAAGAGAACGTGAGCAAAGGGAAGTGCTAAACTTACTATACAACCCTTAGGGAATGAGTATTTGTGGTATTGTGTTGGGTGTTTTTTTCATGTATTTTTAAATTAGAATTAATTGTTGTCAGTTCTGCTAATCCTCAACAGGTTACCTGTCAACACAAACCGAAAGTGAAAGACACTTGGCTGTCAGTGTTGGCTGTGTGCCACAAGGATAGGGTCCAGCAACTCCAACGCATGGTGTCAATTCCAATACCCATTTCTAACGGGCAGTGGACACACAAGGCACTTGTACACCGAGCTGCAAACAAAAAGTCCCAAAACTTCAAGATTTCCTATTACCTAGATTCAGGGACTCTTAATCAAGCAGCAAGATGTTGCTGATGTTACCTAACATACACAGCATTTAGTTCCCTGGAACTAACCTTAAACTCTTCATTCTTACTGATATTCCAAGGAAAAACTTTCCCCCAGTAACACAGTAGCTCTCATTCTCTTGTCTTCAGTGAGGAAATATTTAGAGAGCAAAACTGAGGATTAGCAGATGATTTTGATATGTTATTCACCTACTACAACTGTGGAAAAGATCTTTTGGAACTAAGTAAACATTCATCCTACATCAGACTTTGGAGCAATTAAACACATGCTTTGGGTAAAGGGGGAAGTGCAAACAAAAGCACACAGCTCCAAGTCTTTGAATGTGGTACATACTTCAATGGCATTGAAAACAGTGGGTTCACAAGGGCTTCCACCTCACTCTGCAAAAGATTCACGTAACTCCCGCTCAGCATGGATCTGGGAAAGTCTCACGGGAGCACCTTCACCACGGGAAGAGACAAGGAAGCCCCAATTCCCAGCCTTAGCCTCAACTCACCAAACTACACTACTGCAAGCAGAACTGTAAAAGCAAAGCCATATTTTATGATGCCGAAATGGACAAGCTTTCCTTTTCTCCCCAAAGCACCAGTTTACAATATATTCCCCTTCCCCATCACTAGAAGAACAGCCAATACAGAAAAAACAAATGACAACACTATCCATTTCATTTTGGCTATGGCTGCCTAAATTGAGGCACCTAAATGACAGAAACCGATTCCCCTTACATGGATCCTTATTTCTTCCTGAGTCTCAGGCTCCTTAAAAATCCCTTCCATGTGCCTGAAACAGTGATGCCCAAAATCATAAGCCCAAGAACTTCAAATTAGAGTAAAGCATGGCTGTAAGAAATCAGCTTACCTTACCTTTCACATGACTAAAATGTTTGAAACCTCACCTTGAATCCACTCCTGCTTCTTTTTTTTATCAGAGGCACTTATCTCAAAGCTTTTATCAAGACATTTTATGAGAAAAAGGCATTTCTTTCCATCTTTGTCAGGCAAGGCCTAGAATGGGTAACAAAGGATTAGCCTGTTACATTGTCAAGCCCCGCGTACACAGCTACGTGGTACGGAACTACAAATACCAGTACTAAGAACCTTTTATAATAAGAGTATTATATAAAGTAAAAAACTCCTATTAACAAAAGCCAGAATAGAATGGAAAATGAATCCATCCCGCACACAAAGCAGGATTAATTCTTATCTTTTTTAGAGATATTCACAGTTCTTGGTGTGGTGGGGTTTCTTTACCTCTACACAGCAGTTGCCATCCAGTATGATGTCTCCCTTCTTGTCCTTTAAATCTTCACTTACGTAGTAGGAAATAATATTGGGTTTTAGCACAAACCATCGTTCTGTCCAATTTTTCCTTTTATGACCCTTTTTCAACATATAACCCTGTAAAATGCAACAGGTCAGCTGAACTGCCTGGCCACTGCTGAACTGCCTGTCATGGTGCTTAAACACCCGATACAGCACACAGAAGAGTTAGCTGAAGACCCTTCACTTACACACTTCCATTTCTAATACCAGCACACTGAGAACACTGGTAAAGCCTGGATTTTCACTAAAGGAACAAATTTGTACTTTGATTTAAATAACACAAACATTTCACTAAAGGAACAAATTTGTACTTTGATTTAAATAACACAAACATTTCACTCATAGTATTTTATTTTTCTTGGAAGTTGATCCATTCAACTTTCTGTATGAGAAGACCATTTGCAAGCCTTAACAAGGCCATCTCAAAAGAAAGAAGAGAAGCCCATACTCTGCCACTGAGCTTTACACAAATAAAAGAATAAAAATTATAATCTTTCATAATGACAACAAAGAAGGCTGGGTATCATGATCAAATCATCCAAGTTTGCCTATACTGAATATTAACACATCTGGAATATAAGCAGTGTGGCTACAGCAATTCAGAAACCATCTCATGGAAAAGAGGGTGCAGGGAGAATGATACAATAATAGGTCGTTCTTTCAGGTATTCAATTTTTAGTGGTCTTATCAGGGGTACTGCTGTGACCTAGTCAGTTCTTAATCTAGAGTTTCAGTTTGCCAGTATTTCAGCTACACCTGCCATTTCTAAAACCATATTCTACAATTACTTACATACTTCCATCTGACTCCTAGCTTCAGAAAAAAGTCAAATCACAGATGACACACCTACACCACTACAGCTCTGTACAAGTGATACAGAAAGCAATGCACTAAAAAGTATTCCAGATGAATTGAAAAACTGGAAAGCAGACCAAGACCATTTTTTTCTGTAATGTCTTTTAGCTATAGGAACTTATGATACAAGCAAACAAATAAATGTGCTGTGACAAATTTAAGTCAAAGGTGCCTTTTTGTACAAGTCTGAAGGGAAAAAAAAAAAACAACAGGACAGTTGGAGAAGCTCTTTTGTTTAAGAAAACAGAAAAGGCAGAACAAACAAAAAATAAACACACACAGGGCTTATCTGTGCTCAGCTCTTCTAGCCAGCCAGACTGGCCAGAGCCAAGGCCGTGCCTATTCCCCTGTGCCAGTCCACCCCCTCATTCCAAAACAGGAATGCACAAAGAGTTTTGTTTGCTGCCTCCATACTCCGGTCTGAGGCCTGGGTGGTCACAAGGGCGTGAAGGACTCTGCAGCTTCACTCTTTCATGCCTTGCACAGTCTCAGCAAGTCATGACCAAGAGTTTTTCCCGTTCTTGACACACTAAGTTTGCTTTCAAAGCCAAGCCAGACTGGTATTTCCCCCTCAAGTTTCTGCAAAATCTTTATCTATTATTTCTGTGTATCAGCTGCTTCTGATATTTCAAGAGCCCACTGACAGCTCCTGGGGGTCTTTTTGCACGAACAATCACATGAAGGACACATCTTTCAGAAAACTAAGTACCACAAATGGAATGATCACTGCTACCCCTCCATAAGCCTTGGAGCTCGTAAAATGCTTTGTGTTGGAAGGGACTTTTAGAGGTCATCTAGCCCAGCCCTGCTGCAGCAAGCAGTGACATCTTCAACTACATCAAGATGCTCAGAGCCTTGTCCAACCTGGCCCTGAATGTTTCCATGGATGTCGCATCTACCACCAATCTGGGCAATCTGGGCCAGTGTTTCACCACCCTCACTGTAAAACATTCTTCCTTTTATCTTGTCTAAATCTCCTGTTTTAGTTTAAAACCTCCACACCTTGTCCTTTCACAACAGGCCCTTCTAAAAACATCATCCCCATCTTTCTTATAGGCCCCCTTTAAGTATTGAAAGGCCACAATAAGGTCTCTTTGGAGACTTCTCTTCTGCAGGCTGAACAACCCCAACTCTCTCAGCCTGGCCTCACAGCACAGGGGTTCCAGTCCTTGGACCATCTTTGTGGCCTCCCTCTGGACCCACTCCCACAGGTTCGTGTCTTTCCTGTGCTGAGGACTCCAGAACTGGATGCAGTGCTCCAGGTGGGGCCTCACAAGAGCAGAGCAGAAGGGCAGAGCCACCTCCCTCGACCTGCTGGCCACTCCTCTCTTGATAAAGCCCAGGATACCGTGGGCTTTCTGGGCTGCAAGTGCACGTTGCTGGTTCATGTCCAGCTTGTCATCCACTGGAACATGCAAGTCCTTCTCTGCAGGGCTGTTCTCAACCCCTTCACCCCTCAGCCTGTGTTGATAGGTTGTAGGTTGCCCCTGCCCAGGTGCAGGATCTTGCATGTCCAAGTGTAAGATAAGAGATCTTGGCTATGGTACAGTATGTCATTACTTAATACCCCGAAGTAATCACATAGTGCAACGAACAGGACAATTCTGTGAACTAACAAGGTCTGACAGTACAAGTTGTGACTGAACAAGACATCTGTAAGTCACATGGGGAATTCAGTTCTCCACTAGGACAGTGACTCTGGGCCAAATCCTGACAAACTATTTTTAAGTGTCAAGGAACCATTCAAAGGCACTCAGACATCCTTTAGAAAGAGGCCCAGCCACCGAGACGAAAGAGACAGTTAAAAAAAAAGAAAGAAAAAAGAGAGGTGGAAGGGAGAGAGACACAATGCAGAGACACAGCGCAGTATCAGAACCGAAAAGACATCCCATTTCCTCACAGATTTCAAGTGGAAGAACTGACCTGACACTGGTTATTTTATTTTCATGGTCTTAAACAACAGAATGACTTCATTTTGCCCTCAACTGACTATATATGTGTGTGTCCAGCCCTCACCTCCAACAGGCAACCAGCAGTTAACAAAAATAGACTTCTGCATTGTTCTGTGGATATTCCAGAATAATTTCCTGTGCCAAGACCTTCTGATCATTTCTTCAGAGCAGCTTAGGAAAGCCAGCCAGAAAAGCTTTTGTTTCTCTCCTCACCAAGAAGCCAGAATACCAAAGATGAAAAAAATCGTCTGCCAGCTAGAAGTCAATTTAAATAGCTCTCTAGGTAAGCTCTACTGTGACTCCTCAGGTCCCTGTGATATTTATATTTACTGTGAAAGAAATGCAGTTTTTAAAGCCATTCCTAAACTGATTATCCAGCCACTGGAAATCTGAAGAAAATGTAGATTGACAGAATGTTGCCAAGAATATAAAGGTGTTCTAGACATAGAAGTGACTGACAAACTTCTTGTGTTTCGAGTATAGGTAACTAAGGTGTCAGTCACGTAGCAGAACAAGAAGGAAGAGAGCTCTGGAGCTCTAGAACACGTTTTTGCTCTCTTGAAGTGGGGCAACTTAGAAAGAGACCTTTTGGCAATTCCTTTGTACCGACTCCCTTTTTTGAATACAGAGGTTGTCATCAACACAACTTACATTTGTGAGAGCATAACTGCAACTAGAAAAAAGCATTTTCAAAGACTGAAGTTTAGGAACTGACAGCATGCTGCAGCTATTTTGTCAGCTACCTAGCATTTGATTTTAGTGTAAAAGAGGCTGTATTTCAAGTCAGAGCACACTTCTACTTTCTAAAAACAAACTCCCCCAACAAGCAATTCACTCATAATACTGCAACAGTTGCAACAATGTGAACAGCAGCACAATTTCTCTTTTATAAAAATAAGCTCACATTAAAGAACCTTTACAAGTAATTTACCTACATCCCCTTGCTCATTATTCATGAGGTAAAAGAAACTGAAGTGAAAATTTAACGTTTTCTAATTATGCAAGAAATTGTTTTACTTTAAAACATAATTTCTCTGTGATTCTTACCTGTTTGAGTACATCTAATATGAGCTCATTAAAGACTTCATTGATTGCCATGGACACTGTCTGTCTGTCCATCCCTTTACTGAACTGCCCGCTCCCGATGAGATCGATCAGCTCCCACGCAGAAAGACCTTCTCGACTGGTGTTGAGTGCAATCTTATAATGGTCAAACTGCTCTTGCTGCCAGCCTGCTCCCATTGCTTCGGTGATTTTCTTAAGTAAATATTCAATCTGTACAGAAATACAAGCAGAAATTCATTGTTTTCAGCAGGCATGCAAATGGAGTCTTTCAGAGCTGCAAACTAAGCTTCTCTAGAGACTGTCATTACAGCTAGATTCCTACATTTACATGCGGGCCTCTGAATGTGGGTGGTTTAATTAGCAAAGATTTTAGTCTCCTGTCTCAGTTGAATTTTGACTGCCAAGCCCATCTCACACCTCCTCTCTCCATAGTAAAGAAACAAAGAATTTAACCTGAAATCCTCTTTTAGTATTTCAGATTCCGACAAGAACACACAGGACCTTCCCTGTAACAGCTTCCAAACTGTGACGACTCAAGTGTGAGAAAACAAGAAGTTTCAAAAAGTATTCTTGTAAGATAAAAATTACCCAAATTTTAAAAAAAAAAGAAAAAAAAAAAAAAGAAAAGATGGCATTTTGGACATGATGTGAAATGAAAGACTACCAAGGTATGCTCATGTATTTTATTCTTCACCTGACCCCTCCTCTTCTCCAGCTCTCAAGCATTCCATAACTGGACACAACCTTGTCAGATGTAACAACAGAAGTAAAACCCCTAATTTTTCACTTCCGCTTTTATTGTTTCCAAAATAAACTCTCCTTTTCCTTTAATCTTTTCTCATTCTGTAAGCATTACCATACAGAAGGTAATAACACCAGTCAAAGTAAAAACAAGAATGAAAAAGAAGGAAAGAAGGTAGGGCTTCTTTTGTTTTTCTTGTGTTGTTTTAGCTCATCGCTGTTCACTCTTCAAACAACAGTATTTTAAACTAAGCCCATCTACAACTCTAGAACAACATTAATTAAAAAGAATTAAAATTAAAAAGAATTAAAAGGAACAACAGAGTTCTTTTTAAAGGTTCTTTACACAGAATTATTGGTGAGAGAGCCTTCTTAAAAAGACCTCTATACAACAAAGTAAAAGCCACTTTTAAGTTTCTGTGACTGAAGTCACAGGACACCAGTTACACCATGTAACTCTGTTTTGAAGACAGGCCAAGCTAATGTGGCCTTCTGCTATTTTGGGTAGTAGGTCACTACATTTCCTCACCAGCTTTGCAGGGAACCTGACTGTCTTCATCAGAGAGTAAAGCTGCCCACACCCTTGCTAAGGAGGAAGCCAGGGGAGAGGGTGCCCAGTAACCCTGCACCAGCCCACCCCAGGGACAGAGCAGTACCAGCTCCCCAAAGGGCGGCCCCTTCTCTCCAGCCACCACAAGACCAGCACAGAACCAGCTCCTGGCAGGCCAGCTCACAAAGCTGCAGGCAAGGGCTCATCCCAGCCACACCTATTCTCTACAGTCATGAGGGATGGGACAGGGTGGGAACTGCACACTGCCCAGTGGAGTTGACGCGAAAAAGAACCGTGAGCCTTTCAGGTTCTCCTTTTGCACATGGAAATAACGTGGATTTCCTTAAACGCTGCTTTTCTAAGGATTAGTCCCACAGCAGTCTGCTTCACTTCCAGTTTACCTATTTTAAGCGTGGCTTTGGAAACACTAAGTAACTCAGGAATCTTAAGTCCATTATCAAAAAAAGACTATGGTATGCAGCATGAACACATCTCATTGTAAAGCAGGGGAAACCAAACACTTTGCAGGACTTCGTTGATTCACCAATGCTGGTTTGCCTTTGTTCCTCAGCACTGCCTGAAAACACCATGTAATCTCTCCCACAGGTAAGAAAACCCCATCTGAGAGAACCAGCAGGTCTTTCGCCACAGAATATTTTTTTAGCTACAGCTCAGAGTCACTTTTCAGCTGGTTTAATAGGCTTTTGAGCATCCAGCAGTGTCTCTGTAAGAGATTTGGGAGTACAAAGAAACAAGAGCTCCCTGGTGTCCAGGTTTTGGTGCAGCATGCATGGTAATTTTGTGGCTGCTGCTTCTCTCTCACACACCCTGGTACTGGCAAAAATCCCTTCCTTTCCCTCACATCTATGATTGAGAAGCACACAAGTGTGTAGCAGAACACACTCATTTGGCAAGCGGTAGAATAACAAATTCACCCTTCAGATGGGTAGGCCTTCCCTACCATTTCAGCTCAGTAACTGTTGTTAGTCTCACAGCCCTGCCCTAGCAGCATATGGACTAACGCTAGGGCAAACCGGAGAAGGCAGTGAAAGGCGCTGCGCTGCCTGAGGGGAAGCTGCCGCTCCCCCGCGTGAGCAGGGAGACGCAGCCCTGTGCGATGGGGCTGTCCGGGCCCCTGGCACAGCCTGTGCCGGGGGAAGAGAGCGGCGCCGGGCACAGAGCGCCTCCGGGGCGGGTACAGGCCTTGGAGAGAGCACCGCTTTTCATTTCAGCATCACTGCCTAAGACATTTAAGGGTTTTTAGCTCCTCGTGCAATTCTTACTGGCAAAGACGCGGTCCGAACAGAAGCGGCCTCTCAAAAGGCGGCCGAGCGCAGCGGGCAGAGAGAGC